CCACCCCCCCTCCCGTCATCCTGAACCTCCCCTGACCACGCCCTCATGGGCGTAGCCAGGCACACCTGTAGGGCTCCTAGGAGGCGGGGCTACAGTGTCTCCCTACAATTCCCCTTTTAGTCTAAAAAAGGATTAAAACTTAATAGTGTAAAACATCCAAAATTAACAATCATAAAGGTGAAATACAAGAAGATACAATAATCTGCTATTGCACATCCTAACTATGTCTATTCCAGCTAAGTCCTAAAGTCATGTGGAAAGGGTGTCCAATTTGAACACCTCCTTCCAATCCCAACTCTAAACGATAAGAAAGTTATTCCTAACTACGCTTACATTACCCTAATATACAGGCACACCTGTAGGGCTCCTAGGAGGCGGGGCTACAGTGTCTCCCTACAGATGATCACCCTTTGCTTTGAAGTAGGTTTGGCCTGCAACTCACCAAGTAGGCTAGACTGGCTGTCCAGTGAGCCCTGGACATCTGCCTGTGTCCATAATCTCAGTGCTGGGATTACAAGCACTGACCTCCAAGTCCAGCCTTTCCCTTGAACTCAGGTCCTCATGTTTGCACAACAAACATTTTTAGCAACTGAGTCATCTCCCAGGACAGCCAACTGGGGCCAACTCCCAGTACCATGAGTTTTTGTTTGTAGGAGTGAGCATTTGTTACTCATGCTCTCTGTGCCTTAGTAAAAAAATGTTCCTGGGAGCATTGTATGAGCCAGTACTCAGGAAGTACTGAGAACAAGGCCTGACACCGTACTTTAGGAGGAGCAGGTTAGTTGGCACTGTTTAACACACCATGCTCTATTGTGGTATACTGTAATGTAATCACACACAGGGCACTCAGCATTTGTCATTATCCCATTCAGTCTTCCCAGGACACAGAAAGGACAGCACTGTCATAACTCTGGTACAATCTGTGCCAGTGTGTACTCACACATGCAGTACACTGCCCTTCTCATCCATGGGTTCCCTTTCCAAGGGTTTGGTTTCCCATACGAATCAGGATCCCAGAATACTAAGTAGAAAATATCAGTTCAGTACAAGAAAATATTTTGCAAGAGGAAGAAACTCTTCTCATGTTTATTGCAGTAGACTGTTCTAACGTTCTGCTTTAGTTTTAGTTATTGGTCTCCTGTCGTGTCTACTTAAGCTTCATCGTAGGTATATCAGCAAGGTGGTGCACATGGATTTGGTACTGTGCATAGTTGTAGCATCCACTGCTGGTACAGGCTGTGTTAGTCACTTTTCTCATTGCCATGACAAAAAAAACTTCAAGAGCAACTTAAATGAAGGAAGGTTTTATTTTGGCTCACAGCTCAAGGGTCTGGTTTGTTGTGGTGGGGTGGGTAGACAGAGGCATGAAACAGCTGGTCACATGGTATCCACAGTTGGGAAGCAGAGAGATGGATACTGGTGCTCAGCTCACTTTCTCCTTTTCATTTGGTCTACCACATTTTGGGTGGACTTTTTCACTTCAGTTTACCCAGTCTAGAAACTCTCTCACAGACATGCCAGAGCTTTGTCTTCTAGGTGAGTCTAGATCCTACCAAGTTGATGGTATTGATCATCACGGGGTGGGGGTCTGTATACTCTCTAAGGCTCAGGATGTGTCAGTGACTACATAGTGGGAACTGAGACACACAGTCAGGATTTGTTGAAGATCTGGAGTAAAGCCATGTTAGCCCCATGTATTTGCCAGGATTGCACATGTCCCATGGCTTGGCTTCCCCAGTGCTGGCACTATCCACGTGCTTTTTTAAGCGGGTTCTGGTGACCAAAATCAGATTCTCATGCTTGGAAGGCATGCACTTCACTGAGTGAACCATCTCTGGGCATTTCTTATAAGACATCCTCCTAACTCCTCATAAATGAGTAATAATGGGAGCTATTTTTAGTTTATCTCAGAACTCTTTCAGACCCAAGATGTTCTCTCAGTGCATGAAAGAATCCAAGACCCCTTTGGGTCAGATCAAGTCTCCTATTAGCTGCAGGCCTCACATCTTAGAGCCTGGAACATTCATTATATTTTTGCAGAGTATCTTCAAAGAACAGCAAGCGGGGACAGAGGGTGCTCCTGGCAGGGGTGGGAAGCCTGGGGCTTGGAGGAGAAGGTTCTTGCACCTGAAGCTGCAGCCTTCATTAGTCAGAGTTCAGCTTCCAGAGTCCTCCACGAGGGCTACCTGGAACATGGGCACTTTCAAGATTGCCCCCCACACACACACACACACACTCCCAACAGCTGTAGGAACCAGATGAGTCTAAAATGACAGCCTTTAAGATCACCCCAGGCTTCAGGGTACAGTTTAAGAGTCACTGCTGGGAGCCTACCTCACACCCAGCCAGCTGGGTCCTCTCTCCACAGGAAGAAACTGGGTCCAGGGAAATACTCACTCTTGTCCATCAATGCCCTGTCCCGCTGCACTGAAACAGTTGTCATGGCTTACTGTCTTTGAAATGAACTCTCTGAAGGACTGGCTCCAGCTGATGGAGAGTTAGCCCAAGAGTAAAAATCCCCAGTGATGGAAGATCAGCTGTGACTAGTCCAGGCTTGTGAAGGTTCCCATTCTG